TATGAAACTAGAAATGAACTACAAGAAGAAAGCTGGAAAAGTCACAAATATGTTGAGACTAAACAACATGCCACTGAACAATTATTCGATCAGTGAAGAAATCAAAGAAGAAATCAAAAAACACCTGGAGATAAATGAAAAAACACAACACACTAAAACTTATGGGATGCAGCAAAAGTGGTACTAAGAGGGAAGTTTATAGCAATACAGGCCTACATCAAGAAACAAGAAAAATTTCAATCTAACATTATATCTAAACTAGAAAAAGAGGAACAAGTGAAGCCCAAAATCAGTAGAAGGAAGCTAAGAATAAAAATCAGACCAGAAATAAATGAAATAGAAACTAAAAGGAAATAGGATCAATGAAACTAAAAGCTGGTTCTTTGAAAACAAACAAAACTGATAAACATTACTTAGATTTGTTAAGAAAAAAAGAGAGAAGGCTCAAATAAATAAAATCAGAGATGAAAGAGGAGAAATTACAATGGATACCACAACATACAAAGGATTATAAGAGAATGCTATGAAAAGATATACATCAGTAAATTGGATAACTTAGAATAAAATGGATAGGGGCCGGCCCCGTAGCTCAGCGGTTAAGTGTGCGCGCTCCGCTACTGGCAGCCCGGGTTTGGATCCCGGGCGTGCACCGACACACCGCTTGTCTGGCCATGCTGAGGCGGTGTCCCACATACAGCAACTAGAAGGATGTGCAACTATGACATCCAACTATCTACTTTGGGGGAGGGAAAAAGGAGGAGGATTGGCAATAGATGTTAGCTTAGGGCTGGTCTTCCTCAGCAAAAAGAGGAGCATTGGCACTGATGTTAGCTCAAAAAAAAAAAAAGAGAATAAAATGGATAAATTCCTAGAATTATACAACCTTCCAAAACTGAATCAAGAAATAGAGAGTATAAATAGACTGATCACTAGTAAGGAGATCGAGACATAATTTAAAAACTCCCAAAAAACAAACATCCAGAACCAGACATCTTCCTTGATGAATTCTACCAAACATTCAAAGAAGATTTAATACCTAGACTTCTCAAACTCTTCCAAAAAATTGAAGAAGAGGGGACAATTTCTAACTCATTATATGAGGCCAACATTAACCCGATATCAAAACCAGATAAGGACAACACAGAAGAAGAAAACTACACGCCAATATTGCTGATGAACATAGCTGCAAAAATCCTCAACAGAATGTTAGCAAATTGAATACAATGCACTAAAAGATTCATACACCAAGATCAAGTGGGATTTATTCCAGGGATACAAGGATGGTTCGACATCCACAAATCAATCAACATGATACACCATATTAAGAAAATGAAGAATAAAAATCATGTGATCATCTCAATAGATGCAGAGAAAGCATTTGATAAGATCCAACATCCATTTATAATAAAAACTCTGAATAAAATGGGTATAGAAGGAAAATACCTCTACATAATAAGTCCATATGTAACAAACCTACAGCTAATATCATACTTAATGGTGAAAAAGTGAAAGCTATCCCTTTAAGAACAGGAATAAGAGAAGGATGCCCACTCTCACCACTCTTATTCAATGTAGTATTGGAAGTCCTAGTCAGAGAAAATTAAGCAAGAAAAAGAATGAAAGTTATCCAAATTGGAAAGGAAGAAGTGAAACTGTCACTATTTGCAAATGACTTGATTTTATATATAGAAAACCCTAAAGAATCCACCAAAAAACTATTAGACATGATAGACAAATACAGTAAAGTTGTAGGGTACAAAATAAACATACAAAAATCAGTTGCGTTTCTATACACTAACAACAGACTAGCAGAAAGAGAAATCATGAATACAGTCTCATTTACAATTGCAACAAAAAGAATAAAATACCTGGGAATAAACTTAACCAAGGAGGTGAAAAACCTGTATGCTGAAAACTATAAGACATTGTTGAAAGAAATTGAAGAAAACACAAAGAAATGGAAAGATATTCTGTGCTCATGGAGCAGAAGAATTAACATAGTTAAAACTTCCATATTATTTAAAGCAATCTACAAATTCAGTGCAATCCCTATCAACCCAATGACATTTTTCACTGAAATAGAGCAAAGATTACTAAAATTTATGTGGAACAACAAAAGACCCCGAATAGCACAAGTAATCCTGAGAAAAAAGAACAAAGCTGGAGGTATCACACTTTGTGCTTTCAAAACATACTACAAAGCTATAGTAATCAAAACACCATGGTGGGCCAGCCCCATGGCTTAGCGGTTGGGTGCGCGCACTACTGGCGGCGGGTTTGGATCCCGGGCGCGCACCGACGCACTGCTTCTCCGGCCATGCTGAGGCCACGTCCCACATGCAGCAGCTAGAAGGATGTGCAGCTATGACATACAACTATCTACTGGGGATTTGGGGGAAAAATAAATTAAAAAAAAAACCCACCATGTTATTGGCAGAAAAACAGACACAGATCAACAGAAGAGAATTGAAAGCCCAGAAATAAAGCCACACATTTATGGACAGCTAATTTTCAACAAAGGAGCCAAAAACATACAATGGAAAAAGGTAAGTCTCTTCAGTAAATGGCATTGGGAAAACTGGACAGCCACATGCAAAAGAATGAAACTAGACCACTGTCTTACACAAAAATTAACTCAAAATGGATTAAAGACTTGAAGGTAAGACTGAAACCATAAAACTCTTAGAAGAAAACTTAGGCCGTATGCTCTTTGCCATCTGTTTTGCAGTATCTTTTTGAATATATCTCCTTGGGCAAGGGAAACAAGAAAAAATAAATGGGACTACATCAAACTAAAAAGCTTCTGCAACAAAACAAAAAGTCAACCTGCGAATTGGGAGAAGATATTTGCAAAACATATATCCAATAAGGGGTTAATATCCAAACTATATAGATAACTCATACAACTCAACAACAATAAAAACAACCCAGGATCCGGCCCGGTGGCATAGTGGTTTAAGTTCGTGTACTCTGCGTCGGCAGCCTGGGGTTCACGGGTTCGGATCCGGGCCACAGACCTATGCACCACTTATCAAGCCATGCTGTGGCAGGTGAGCCACATATAAAGTAGAGGAAGATGGGCATGATCTTGAATTTTCTTTTATTATCAAGGACATTATTAGGACATTTAATGATATCTCAATAAATATGTATTTTAGACAACAGTATGCTATCAATGTTAATTTCCTGATTTTGATCATTGTCCTATTGTTATGTAAGAGAATTCCTTGTTTTTAGGAAATAAACACCAAATTTTTTAGGGGTTCAGGGTTATCATGTCTGCAATTTACTTTTAAAACGGGCCAGAAAATTTGTAGAGAGAGAGAAAGAGAGGAGAAGAGAAGGAAGAATTTTTTTATTATTCTTGCAACTTTAAGTCTGAAATGATGTCAGAAAATTTTTAAGTTTGATAAGGAAGCCCTCTATGTCCTATGTGTCTGACGTGGAAAGATTTCTAGCATTAATTGTTAAGTTAAAAACAGTGTATAAAATATGTTACCCTTGAGGTAAAAGAGAAAATGGGAGGAAATAAGAATTCCATGTTATTTGCATAAAGAAGAATTCTGGAAAAATACATGAAAAACTGTAAATAGTGATTATCTGTTGGGGAGTAGGAGCTGGATAGAGAAGAAAGAAGCATGGGAAAATACTTTTTTTTATGTTTTTGTTTCTAAACCATATTAATATATTAGCTACCCAAAAATAAAAGTCAACTAAGGACATGAAAAAAAGAAAACAAGAAACAGGTAACCAAGTGCAAGATCATCATTTAAAGGTATAGAAGGAAGGAGAAACTCTAGGCAAGGTACTGATTAAAACAGCCAAAAACAACTACAGACGTGGATATTAAAGAATTTAGACTATCATAGTTTTCTTCACCTTTACCGACATAGCACCACTGGTGCTGATGTCAAGAGCATGGAGAAAGTTGAGTGGAAATTAGAAATAAAAATTACAAGAGGGAAGATATTCATAGAAGCAGAAAAAACGTCTTTGTGGTATGATGGAAAGAGCATAGGCTTTGGAATAAGATCTAAGATAAAATCCTGTTTCTGCTATTTAATAGCTGTATGTCCTTGAATAAATTATTTAATTTCTTCTAGCCTCAGTGACTCATCTCTGAATTGCTTACGTCATTGAATTGAAATACATTTTAGAAAGATGTGTTATCAAAGCATGAAAATTAATTTAAATAAAATGCCAGTACTGTACTTAAATGCTGAATCCGAACTTAGGGGGAAAAGCTTTTATTTGGAACATGACACTCGACTCATTCCCAAGAATTGAGGAGTTGTATGCATGAAGTGGGTGGTACTTTGGGGAAGTGTTAGGTTGTAAGGGAGGTGAGGAAGGTATATATATTGGTTGTGTCTGTGTGACTGTGTCTCTTAGAGCAAAAGGGTTGTTTAAGAAGAATCACAGTGGAGGAAATTTAGATGTCACCCTTTTTGATTTGAAATCCCTACCTGTAATGAGAGTTTCTTTTACTGATCCCAAAATGTATCACGTGCCTTCTACTCTCAACCTGTTTGCCTGTGTTGTTTTTTCTTTTTTTTTAGCCCACGGAAAATCCTCTATCCTCTTCTGTCCAAAGCTTAAAAATCTGTTAAACATCTACACAAGATCTGCCAACTTGATACCTACTTTCACTATTTCAGCATGTCCTGAATTCTTTCATTTCTGAAATCTTATAGCATGAATTTCTCATATAGTTTTTTAATTGTTTAGATGATATGAGAGTCTCCCGCAACAAATGGTAAAAAGCTTAAAAGCAAACATTATTTCATATATCTTTTTATATCTGACTTGAAAGATGGTAGAGAGACAAGTACTAATTATTGTTTCAGAAATGTTGACCTAAATTACTCAGAGCCCTGAAGACTCTCAGCACAACAGCTTAGATTTCCCAGCTTTTGTCTACAGCTCACCTTTGCCCCTTCCCCTGAGGGGCCCTGTAAAAAATGGTTTCTGGCTCAGCAGGGATATGCTTGATGTTTCAGGAATCAGTGACCTTCCAGGACGTGGCTGTGGACTTCACCAGAGAGGAGTGGGACCAGCTGTATCCTGCTCAGAAGAACCTCTACCGAGACGTGATGCTGGAAAACTACAGGAATCTGGTCGCACTGGGTAAGGATGGTATCCCTATAAAACTGGAAACCATTCGAATGGGTTTATTTCCTTAAGTAGTGAAAACCTCCAAAGCTTTTGTGAATGTAGTTCTGGCCAGGACAGAAGAATGCTAGTCAGTTTTGGAGACAGAGACCTTTGTTTCCTGGTCTTTCTCCTCAGGTAAAGTTCTTGACTTTGTTGAGTTTGAGTTGGGTAGCTTTATTTTGCTGCCTCTGAAGTCTCCCCTTTCTGAATCCAGAGACCCTAAGGACTAAAAAGGTTGGAAATGAGTTCTGAGAGAGATTCTTGTTCCCAGTATAAACTCCTGAGACATACATTTTTCCCATGAATAGGGCATCAACTTTATAAGCCAGAGGTGATCACTCAGTTGGAGCAAGGGGAGCAGTGGATGATGGAAAGAAACAGCCCACTGGCCACTCATCCAGGTGAGAAGCAAGCATTTGGGTATTTGCTACTCAGTGAGGGGAAATAGTCACTTTTGAAATACTTAACTGAGTATGTTCCAAATATCTCCCTCTGGGATTGAAAGAATACTTAGGCCATTTTAAAAATTCAATTCATATTTGACTTTTTTCCAAGGTGGAAATGGCTTTCTTATTTTTTTCTGATTAAACAGATAATATGTACTTAATATCAAAAAAGATTTACACCACACAAAAGTTATTTTGAAGGTGTTAGTTTGAACACCCGTAGATACCTTGATGTTGCAAATCTCCACATAGCATTTTCTTTGTTTTCTATTCATACATCCTTTCTCGGTATTCTTTAAATCTTTCTTTTCCATATCAAGAATCTTCACCATTTTTACCTACTTTTCATTCTTTCTTTTTCCTCTTGTTATCAAACTCTTTAAACTTGTTTAAAATCCATAGCTTCAATTCTAATTCTCTTGTTCACGTTTGTGATATGACCCCTGTACTGTCCTACCTGTACTACTAAAATTGTTTTCTTGGAGATTACCACTAACTTCCTTCCAGTCAAATCCAGTGGCTAAAAAGACACCGTTACTGTCTCCTATGATTTTGTTGCATTTAGTGTATTGATTTTACCTTCTTGAAATTTTCTTCCACCCTGGCCTGTGGTACACACCATTCTTGTCTCCTCTAGCCTCTCTCCTGTATCTCTACCTGTTCCTTTACTGCCTTCTCTCCCTCCTTATTCTTCTTAAAGGCAGGCATTCCTAGGGACTTGGTGTTCCATCTGTAGTACAATGCTTTTAAATAGCCCTTCTCTGACATTTTCCCATTTCTACATTTCTAGCCTCAGTATTTCACCCACATTCTCTTCCCAGATTTTAGATTATATTTTCATTGATGAATGTCATGCTCTCATTTTAATTATTTCAAACCTTGGATCTGTTGACTTTATACTCTCCTCTTTAAAGCATCCCATTAAATATGACATTTCTTAACCAAAAAAACCCCTTAGCTCCCTATTGTTGGCATACCGCCTATAATGCTCTGCCTGGTTATTTTAGCAAATAGTTGACTGTTAACTGTATGCCAGATACTGATTTAGATATTTTCCGATGTGGCCCATTAAGCCAGGCTAACCCACCTCATCTCTAGTCACTACTCTGATTCTTTGCTCTGGCACCTGGTTTCATCATTTGGACTTGGTTTTCTGTCATTCAAACTTTAGCTTTTTCAAGTTGACCTTGACTTGACTGTCTTTCTTGCTTTTAGTGCTTTAGGTTATCTTTGGTAGGAAACCTTGTTCCTATTTCAGCCTCACTGAACCTGAATTTTGCCTGAGCAGTGTTGGCATTCCATGGGTAGACGCTGATAATTAAAACATTTTGTCAAGAACCCCTAGCACTTTTCCTGACAACAGTGGATGACGGTATTTCTACAAACCTCCACACCCCTGAACCTGGGGAGTAGGAAACTAAAGGAGGAAAATGAAAAACTCCCTTTTCGAGTCAGTTGCCATGGTAGGCACCTACAGCAGAAGGCAGAGCTATTCTTTCCCACAGGTACATATGCTGTCATGTGTAGGATCCACACTGTATTACATTATTTCCCTACCCATAAACCCCCAACTAGAGGAAATAATTGCTAACTTAAGAAAATTTCCAGACGTCATTATGCAGCTGTATATGGATGCCCAAGGCTCTCGGTTCACAGATAAGCTGGAACATGTGATTTTTTTCACATCCTCCTTGTCAGGGACACTCTCCTCCAAGGAGACTACTTGCATTTTTGCATTATCCTGTGAGACACAATCAATGGTACCTCATGAGGATGTGGTAAAACATTTCTGTTGATCCAGGGATTGGGATAGAATGATCTGGCTCGGGTGACCTAATTCTGGTGTGCCCTCTGGGGTATTATATGCCTCGTTGTTATTGACATCTGCTGGTGTCTATTTTTATAGAAATCTCTTCCTAGCTAAGATGAAACCTGGAAAACATCCAATGGATTTAGCAACAAAGAGGTTAGTAATTAATGAGAGAAATGACAGGGAAGTGATTAGAAGAACAATCAGTGTGTACATTGTTGAGTGAACAGGAAGTAAAAAAAAAGTAGAACTAGTAAATATAGAGTACTCTTACAAGAATCTAGAATGAGAAGAGGAAACAATAAAGAGGATATATGCTATAATACCAGATAGTGTCAAAAGAGAATTGTTCTCAGCAGGAATCATTTTAGCTTGCTTCTAATGCTAGAGGGATGGAGTCAGTAGAGAGGGTAAGCAGAAAATAGATACAAAAGATGGAGCAAGGTTCTAGAAGAGATGGAGTGGGATTGGAGAGAAGGAGATTAGGGTTACTTTGTATGTAAAGAAGTTTGTTGTCGGAAGATTTTGGGGAGTTCACACGTGGTGATTTCTATTTTCCTGGTAAATTAGGTGATAGGGTCTTCTGTTAACTGTAAAGGTATTGAGAGGACAGGTAGGGGATTTGAGGAGCACTTGCTATAGCTTACTAAGGTCAATGGACGCTGACTAAAGATGAGTAAAGGGATTACTGAGCAGCTTTGAGGGCCCAAATGAGATTTTGCCTGTACATCTGTGGTTTCTGATTTCTATGGCTGTGCCATTTCTTCTCTTATATTCAGCACTGGAAAGGGTTTGTAGAGCCCAGGTCAAGGGCCTGTTAAGACTGGTGGAACTAAAGGAGGAAATCTGGGAAAGAGAGTTAATTCAAGTGATTTGACATAGAGTCCCAGAAGTGACAAGAAGTGAAGTAAGGCCTGAAGAGGCCTGACAACTAGAAGACAACAGAAGAGTCAAAGAAATGGAGGTCTGGAGGAGGTCAGAAAGCAGGTAGAATGTGAATAAGGGCCAGAGTCCCCTCAGGGGCAAGAGAGTGTGACATTGAGATTTTTCATATGGAGCAAAGTTCAGAGTATAAGTGTATAGCCAAGTAAGTAGACTGTTGAAGTAGAGTGAAGGTAAAGACACAAACTACTAGTTAGAAAATAAGAAGGAAGAGAAGAGCCCATTTAATAGCAACTAAAAAGGTAAAATGTCTAGAAATAAATTTTCAACAAGAAATGTGTAACATTTCTGCTTGAGGAAAACCTTAAAACACTTCTGACAGAGAAATAAATTTGAATAAATGGACATACCAAAATGTTAGTGTCCCTACCAAACGTGTGATATAATCCCATAAAAAGTGCCTGCAAGATTTTGGGAAGATCTAGATAAGCTCATTGTAAAGTTCCTATGGAAAAACCAAAACACAAAAATAATCAGGAAAACTCTGAAAGGAAAAACAATAAGGGGATTATCCCTACTAGTTAATATACAGTAAAATTTCATTAATTAAAACAAGACAGACTAACTGAACAGAGTGGAAAAAACAGAAATACACCCAGATACATGCAAGAGTTGAGTTTATAATAAAGGCATTATTTCAAATTAGGAGAGAAAAAGGCATCTTGTGGAGACAACTGGTATTAAAAAGGTAGATATTTTAATAAATAGTGGGTAGCCATCTGGAAAGAGATAAAATTGGATCCATAGCTTATCCCGTAAACCAAGATAAACTCCAAAGGGATCAGAGATTTGAAATGCAAAACATGAAACCATAAGAGACCTGAAAGGAAACATAGGAGAAATCTTTTATAACCTTGAAATGGGGAAGTCTTTTCTGACTATGATTCAAAATCTAGAACCCATAAAAGAAAAGATTCATGCATTCAACACACACAAATTCCCAAATTCTGCATGGTGTAGAATACTAATAAGCAAAATGAAAAGATAAATGGCAATGGGGAAAAATATTTGCAACTTATATCAAAGGGGTTAATCTCCCATTAATATATAAAAGGCTCCTCTAAATCAATAAGAGGCCAGCAGCCCAATAGAAAAATACACAAATATGAACAGTTCTTAGATAAAGGAGTACAAGAACCTTTAACATATGAAAAAATGTTCAGTCTCACTCATGATAAGAGAAGCACAGATATCAGTCATAAGAGAAACGCAGTTTCAATTTGCTACCTACCAGCAAATTACCTTTTCTCTCTTGTCAGATTAGCAAAAGTCCAAAAGTTTCACAGCACACACTGTTGATGAGTCCATGGAGAAGAAAGCGCTCTCATACTTTGCTGGTATAAGATGAACCACCACAGGGCCGGCCCGGTGGCTTGGCGGTTAAGTGCGCGCGCTCCGCTACTGGCGGCCCGGGTTCAGATCCCGGGCGCACACTGACGCACCGCTTGTCCAGCCATCCTGAGGCGGCATCCCACATACAGCAACTAGCAGGATGTGCAACTACGACATACAACTATCTACTGGGGGGCTTTGGGGAGAAAAAAGGGAAAAAAAAGGAGGAGGATTGGCAATAGATGTTAGCTCAGGGCCAGTCTTCCTCAGCAAAAAAGAGGAGGATTGGCATGGATATTAGCTCAGGGCTGATCTTCCTCACACACACACACAAAAAAACAGATGAACCACCACAGGGCAGGCCTGGTGGCATAGCGGTTAAATTCGGCGTTCTGCTTTGGTGGCCCAGGGTTCATTCACTGGTTTGGATCCTGGGCATGGACCTACACACCACTCATCAAGCCGTGCTGAGGTAGCGTCCCATATAGAAGAGCTACAATGCTACAACTATGATGCACAACTATTTAATGGGACTTTGGGGAGAAAAAAGGAAGAAGAGGAAGATTGGTAACAGATGTGGGCGCAGGGCCAGTCTTCCTCAAAAAAAACAAAAAACTGTAAACAGGTGAACCAGGGGGGAAGTCAAGATGGCGGCATAAGCAGACTCTGAACTCACCTCCTCCTGCGGACACAGCCAATTTACAACTACTCGTGGAAAAATTACCCCTGAGACAGAACTGAAAACTGGATAAGAGGAACTCCTGCAACAAAGGACAATCTTAATTGGGGTGCAAGAGGCAGAAACTCCCTTCTGGAGAGAAAAAACGCCACCTTCACAAGCTGCAGCGCCTCACCGCCACCCGGGAGCAGC